CGCCTCCTGGTGCCCGATTCCTCTCTTGGTGGCGGCCTGGGCTTGCATTCATCGCTAAATATATCATCTTCCTCTTCCTCCTCTCCTTCCTTTTTATCTTCGCTTAGATCCCTGTCTAAATAATCGTCCTCGTCAAAGTGCCTAGGCTCTGACGACGTGGTGGAAGGAGAGAGAGAGGATACCTCCATGTCGTTTTCTGTGCCGTTGCTTCTCGTTACAGAAAATGGGGAAAATGTAGAGTGAATCACACACGGAAATTATTGCAATTTAGAACTGTAAGAAAATCTTGAAATAAGCGAGACAGAGGAAGAATAATTGGAAAAGATTTGAGCTAAAAATAACGTTGGAGTTCGATTTATGAATGTCCTGCATGTCGTGTTACTAGCAAATTTATATGTACCTTAACCATGAATCTTGGTGAATTTACTGGCGTAGGAAAAGCACTGCAATAGCGGCATTTCTCATGCACGTCATAATGGAGACAAACTATAGTCCCAAAACTTACTTAAATCCATCAGAGAATCCGAAATTAAATTCCTGCTAGACTTGCAGGCATTCCGTTTTCCGGAAAACAGTGACCAAAACTGGCGCTATTAATATGCCAAATCCTGTGAACGTGAAGTTCTGTGTATATATATTTGAAATTTCAACATTTATAAACATTTCAGCACTTTGAATATGAACCTTATGCGTTCCGTGAGAAGGATGTTTATGCTCTGTGCACCAAAAACAATACCGTCGAGTGTCCGCAAGAGCTGATTACATATGGATTTCAAACAAAGCTGGATCTTTTTTAACTTGTCTGGGAGGCAAATCTTCGTTTTAGGTCAGACTAGAGGAAACAATTATTACACCATATCGTATCGAATAAACATATATAAACCTATAATGATGTCTCTAGAAAGTTACAGAATGACTGAGCGATTTCATATGCTTCAAAATGTTGACTGATTATCCCATAATGAACGCCCGAACACGCCATGAATTAGCGAAGACTTACAACAACGCTTCCCAACCGGACTATACTATACGCGCGGTGAGACAACAGCAATTTGTTACGTAATTAGAAAAAAAAATCATGAACCGCGGGGAGCCCATGAGTCATGATTGTTGTTCGCTCGACGGCCAACACCCAAATCAATAGTGGGCGTCCGTTTTCTCTTCGAAGCTCACCTGGATAGCAGAAAATGATCTCTTACATGAGTAACTAAAGCAATTCGGGCTATAGGGACGTCCGTTAGCAAAAAGATAACGAATTTCGCTTCATCTTTGGAAATTAACGTTGAATTTTGAATTCCCATTGACTTTATTCTAGTAAATGCATATATAAAGTTTCTTATAACATGTTTTTTCTTTAAACATCAATAAATTATTTACCTTAGGTCAAATTACGATCTAACAGTCCATACCCAAGAAAACGAACGAAAGATTTTGCCATCGCAACCCAAATGACAGCAACCCAGAACAGCATGCGTGGCGTACTCACCTGTCGTCGTGAATGAAGTGTTGCACTTTGTTCATGCTCTCGTGCACCTGCCTCATGCCCTCCTTGAAGCGCTGGTTGAGGCGGTGGGCGTAGAGGGAGGCGCCGCCCTCGCTCAGGTAACCGTCAAGATCCGAGGAATTGCCGGATTTGTAGCCAACATTGCGTAGGACGTCGCCGTCGGACATGTAACCTGAGACAGGAGCAACATATTTTAAGGGCGAGATACACATTTATAAGCGTAGGTGTATTGCATTTGACACTCAAAAATCCTTTTAATGTATGTTATTGTTATATCAAATAATATTCCTCCACAAAGCACGACCATAAAGTAATTGACTACATTTCTGACGCATGATAGTGAATATGAAATATACGAGGATAAAACATATTCAAAATCTGAAACACGACAAACAAACCGATCCGACGCACAATTCTTACTACACCATCGCAAACATCGCACTCAAACGAAACGAACTCATCGACAACGAGGCTAAAACAACATCCCAGAGCGCACGACACAACACGGGGCACAGTGAGAGCTAACGAAGAGGGACTGACGTGAAGATTCCCTCCCCACTGGGATGAAAACCAGCTCCCTTGGGTGAACGTGAGAGGCGATAATGCGTGGCGGGCGAGTCACCTCGTCCCTTGGACCTTTGGAGTGCCCGCCGTTGCCGTGACATGAGACGCTGACTTGCTCTGGCACGGGGGTTGCTTCGTGACGTAGCTCAGGTTTTAGTCACTGTCTCAGGGATTATCAGCGTGACTATTTAGTTTCTTCGACACTAAAACCTGACCGACTATTCTCTCTCTCTCTCTCTCTCTCTCTCTCTCTCTCTCTCTCTCTCTCTCTCTCCTCTCTCTTCCTCTCTCTCTCTCTCTCTCTCTCTCTCTCTCTCTCTCTCTCTCTCTCTCTCTCTCTCTCTCTCTCTTCTCTCTCTCTCTCTCTCTCTCTCTCTCTCTCTCTCTCTCTCTCTCTCTCTCTCTCTCTCTCTCTCTCTCTCTCTCTCTCTCTCAAACGCAATTCTGGGAAGTACGGCGTGAAACAGACGTGACACTAATCCATAATAACTTCAATTGTATACGTGACATGAAAGTTTTAAAAAATCATATTGTCATCCATCAGAGCAATTCGAGGAACGAATGGCAGAGCGAGAGGATTCACATACTACGCATTATTTTCTACTCCAGGAAGGCTCCATACAATAAAAATAAATTTAATCTAACACGCTGTAAATTCTATTGAATTACAATAAGTCCACCGCCTACTCTCGAAGAGACGTTACTTTATAGCCACATTCGCAGCAACTAACATCGTGGGTTATATTCGAAAGGAAATACTACAGCGTCGACCTAAAGCTTTGTTCTGAAATTTTACAGGGTTGCTTTGGATGCTATTTGACTACATTCTGAGTTTAAAACGTGACACACGAAGGAAGAGGAAGAGACTGCTATTTACCATTAGCGAGGTCCACACTCCCAGGTCGCTGTAATCCGTGTCAATGACCTGGTTGGGACCCGGAGGACGCTTGAGGTGAGGCCCAATACGCATCCCCTTCTGCGGTACTGTGTTGGCGTTGTCTTGGAGGGCTGCTGAAAAAATGCGAGTCGGTTAATAAGAAGAACTACTGACAAATGCAAATAAATGATAAATGCAAATAAATCTATTTAAAGGCTAAAAATATTTAAAACTGAATAATTCCAATCATTTTCATATTCCGATTACTTCCTTCACTATAGATCAGAGATTCTTAATGTTTGACTTCGCTTATAAAGAAAAGGTATCTGTCTATGGACTGACCTAGCCTGGAAACGTGCAAAGAAGGTGGCACTGTGCGGGTTTGGTGGAGGCCTAGTCCTCTCATGTAGCCATACTGCAAGCCCTCACCAGCGGCTGCATGGGCTTGATATTCAGAATGACTTCGTCGCCCTCTTCTCCCTCGCCTTCTCCTCCACCTGCACAAAACAGGAGAAAAATAATTGAACAAATTGTCGAACCATTGGAAATGGATATCTTTAATATTTACAATAACAATATATTCTGAATCCCTAATGCAGTTGCATTACAATCTGAAAAGTTAAAACTGTTATAAGAAAGACAATTTAAGTAAATGGGCTTTTTGCATCTAATATATAAAGCGAAGTAGCCTCTCTCATCGCCAGCCACTTACCTTTCTCATGTGAGTCTTCAGGTCGGAGACGCTGTCGTCCTCGGAACTCGTGGGCTTGTAGATAACGGAGGAGTTGCCGGAGGAAGTGCTGTTGCTGTGGCCGCTGTTGCTCTGGAGGACTCGCTGATGTTGGAGCCCGATTCGGAGGGCGTGACCATGTCCTTCTCGCGTGGGTTGGGCATGGACTCACCATCGCCACGCTGATGCCCGTCGCGGAGTCCTCCCGTCTGCCCAGCTGCTTTTGGCGCGGCAGAGAGCCCTTCGGGTCGCGGCACTCTTGAGCTGCGTTGGCCTCCCCACCCGAGGGTGTCCCTGCCGTCCGCGGAGCGCTGCTGCCTCCGATTTTAGGCGTGGAGGGCGTGCCTGCGGGCCGGACCATCTTGTTGTAGTCTTTGGCCTGATGGGACGTGTTGACGTTGGGCGAGGCGGTGGGGGTCGGGGGCGCAGACCGCTCGGGGGGCACCACCTTGGTCTGGCCCTTCACGTGGGCCGTGGGCTTCGGGATGCCCGTGCCTGGAGTGCCTGGGGGGAGGGGGCTGCCGGGGGTCGTCACGACAGTCTGCTGCTGCATTGCTGGGGCCTGATCCTGGTGGCTGCTGTGGCTGTGCTCCTTGTGGTCCTTTTCTTTGGGCGGTAGAGCGGGTGGCTGGTCTGACTCTGAGGCTGCGTGCCCTGCGGTCTCCGGCCGCGGACCCGGCGCAGGGGGCCGGGAGTCCTTCTCGGCATTGGCTGGCAGGGGCACTGGGGGGCGCTGGGGGCGCGAGCCGCCATCCAACTCGAGCGTGAGCTTGTCGCCCTTTTTGGCGCTCCTGTCGCGACTCTCTCCGCGAGGGTCTCGGTGGGTCTTGTGACCTCCCCGCGGCGACCCTCGGACCCTCCCGCTCCTCGCCGCTCCTTGTCCTTGCGCGACGCCTTGGGCGACTCCTTGCCCTCCTTGCCCGCAGACTTGGAAAACTTGGACCTGGAATCAAGATAGTGTTAGCTACGTGTTGCAGGGCGACAGGCTGTATCCTTGTTTGATTAAGGGTCTGAAACATTTAATATATCGGTAATAACATAACCATAATAGAGGCAATGACAATGATAGTGATAATAATGATGATGCAATAATAATAATAATATCAATAACAACACAACATACAGTAAATAATAATAATAATAATAATAATAATAATAATAATAATAATAATAATAATAATAATAATAATAATAATAATAATAATAGGAGTAGGAGTATAAAAGTAGTATTAGTAGTAGTAATAGCAACACTAATAATAAACAATAATAGTAGCAATAACAATAGCAATAATAAAAATAACAATTATAATAATGAAGTTGCTGTTGTTGTTGAACATGATGATAAATGATAATAACAATGATGATGGAATAAATAATTAAAATAATAAATAAATAAATAAATAATAAGGAAAAACGACTACAACAACTTTGATAACAAAATAACACCTGCGGAAGCAATCAAATGAAAAAGAATACCCTGATGGTGACGCCCAGCGAGAACACCATCACACGGCGAAACACACCTGATCCCCGAAGGCCCTGCGGCTTGGGAGGCGGGGGCGCTCCCCTGCTGCGCCTCCGCGTGGCTCGTCTGATCACTGCTGCGCTGCTACTGGTGCTCACAGGCAAGCTGCGGCGTGGGGCGTGCTTGTTAGTCATTTATTGGGCGTAGGCGTACAGTTACTCGTGGGCGTGTTCGAGGTTTATATGTGGGCGGGGTTATGGCTAGGTGTAGCTGGAGTTATGTGCTTTGGTCGGTGTCTTTGGGGGACTATGTACATTTTGTGGGAGAAGCCTTGCTCACGGCGTAAGCTGGGTGCCTTTATATCTAGGTTTTAAGGTACAGTTTGTGTTATGCATTCGGTGTGGGGTGATGTTATGTTTTTATCGTTATTATTAAGAAAAGACTAAGCTAAAATTATGACCTTCGCCTTATATACAACACGCATAAGAAGTAATACATCGTGATCCCTTGTCTTAGTGATTCTCAGAATGGTGATGACTTTTATGTATTTTATTATTTAATGACTACCTTCGTAGGCTAAGAACCTTGTTATATTTACGAGTCCGAGAAATCCTAGGAAAGCATCGCTTCTTGGACTCTTCTCACTGAATTTTACAGATCAATTCAGTCTGCGACATCCATTTAGGAAAATTCGGAGCGAAGAAACAAACACTTCCATGTATCTCCCATAATAGCCAAAATCAAAAAAATAATTAAAAGTATATGCAAAAGCTATTAACTTCTCCTGCGTTGCCAAAGATACATAACGGCGCAAGGTAATTCCACATACAATGTAATCTGTGAATCTGTTCCGTGACGTGACTACCGTGACTCACACATCATTACTCCATATCCTGCCTTATTCAGCGGGCCTGACTCGCTCCGTAATTAGAGCAATCTGCCGGAATTACCTTTAGACTATGTACACTGCAATTAGTACCGTGTTAACGTTAGTCTCTCTCCACTCCTGTACAGAACCTAATTTTCTCTCACCCATTCACACCTTAATTACCCTTTCGTTCGGGTTATCATTCCACTCTCATTCTTCCATGACACAGACCCTCTCTTCCGACGCGGCGAAGGGGACGTTACCCTTTGGTGCGGCGGCAGCGGAGGGGGCTTGGCGTCGGAACACAAGCTGGTCGACGAGTCAGAGCGCTCGGACCTGGCGCTGCTGAATCCGCTGCTGCTGCTCGTTCGTTTGCTCACCCGCTGCTGCCTGCGAGGAGAGGGGGAGAAGGAGGGTCAGTTAGTGGACGTCGTTTAAAAGGAAGGTGGTAGAATGGGAAGTGACGTAAGTTTCCGGTGCGCGATGTGACGGTGGTGTGATGTGGTGAATTTTTGACTGCAGCGTCTGAAGCGGCGTACGGGAGTGATGGCGATGGGCAGAGTGGAGTGGCGATGTGGTGGATGTGGCGAATGCTTGGAAAGAGAGGGAATAGGAGAAATAAAATGTGATCTCTAACTGCAGTTGATATCAGAAGACGGAAAAAATGTTCCTGAGAGAAAGACAAAGATGTGGCGTGGGCTTGATTCATAACGGTCGGGGGGAGTGGGAGTGTGATGAGGTGGGAATGAGTAACTTCTCACAGATCGCGTGTCGAGCGGTCATGTTCCCGGAGGAGGAGGGCCTATGCGTCACTTCACGCAATTACACCTAACATGATTTTGGTTACACTGACCGCTCAGCTATCGGCCAAAACAGATAATACAGATGCAAATAAAAATACATGCACTGAGTGCATACGTATCAATATCAAAGCATAGGCGAGTCTATCCATCAAAATTCACACGTGACACCTGACACTGTCCATCATGGTTTTAATTCGCGGCAGCTCGGAACACTCCGCGCCGTCCATCAAAGCCGATCTGACCGGACAGCCGAGGATCAACAGGTCACGGGGTTATTACTCTCTCCCCCCTTCCCCCACCCCACTACCCGGCACACCGATGGGTCCGGTGCCTCAACAGTGCCACAGGTGTCCCTGAGCGCCCCCGCTAGCCAATGATAACGTCACTCTCCCCCCAAAAAATCCCCCTAAATCCCGTACTCTACGTTGTTCATGTGACGCGGTCCAACTACATATTTTCCCATTCATAGAAGCAGATATCTTCATGCCGGCACTACTGATAATGATAAAAGATAACATGCACCGATTACCCCCTTCCCAACGCATGACATCGCAACCCGCATGACTTCTCTTCGTGACATTCGGTAACGTGATATCCAATCCCCTTTGCTCCCCCCTCTACCCCCTTCCCGCGGTCCCTCCATGCCCCTCTCCGGAACACCTGATCAGGGACTGACGGCCCGCATCGCCACCGAAGGGCAGACGAAGGAATAAAGCCTTCATGCGTATTTTCTTTGGCTTAAGGACCTGCGCACCGACGAAGGAAAAGCGGTCAGTTTCTCAGTGTTTCTGGTCTCGACAGTTTCAATGCAATCGGCTTTAATTATGAAGTCACCATTTCCTCCGGGCACTTCTTGGAAGAGGCACAAACACCAACTAAATGCTCGGTGGTGTTAAGCCTTCATCATCGCACAAAAACACACACATTTGCGCAGTTTACGAGACACTCGCCTCCAGCTTTGATAAGAAAATGTAATCAGCATGTGAATGCGCTGGTTAAGTAAGACAAGAGAGAAAAAAAGGTAAAAAACACTACTACATATGAAAAGAAGCTCCACACAAACCCAAATGCGAATGCGCGAGTCTACATCCCACCACAAAGAAGGCCGCGACACCACTAACTTAAGTACGGCGAGGCAGCCCAATTTTTTTCTGGGAACTTGAAATCGCTAATGAGGTGGGAAAAATGGCACAGGTGTGGAAGCAAGGGGATACACCAACCCGCACACCTGCTACAAACATGGGCGTGCTATGGAAGTATAACCCGTGAATGATGAACGGTGAAGATGTGCAAATGAGCTTGATATCACATTAATCAGATAGTCATCAGTCATTACTTTTAATGCATACTAATCAGTTATCAATTAAATAAATGTTAATGTATACGACAGAAAAAAACATTTTACGTCATTGAAACTAGCAATACATAATTAAATTAATGTAATATATGTACCTATTCCCCATTTCTCAGGAAATGAAAGTAAAAACAGGAAAGGAGTGCCAGGGTTACATTAACGCACAGACCCCTAAGGGAAATGGTCTACATATTTTATAAACGCCTAAGGAGGTTGCAGTTACAACCATGCATAAGTTTGAATACATGTATGCATGCATGTACGTATGTATTAACATATATATGTATTGCGTAGGTGTAAACACGTATATACAAACCTAAAACATATATCTACACATATATTATATAAACATACATACATAAATGCACACAAACACACACACACACACACACCACATACACACACACACACACTCAGACACTCAACACACTACTCACTCACTCTCACATACACATGCACATGCAAATGCGCGCGCGCGCACACGCACACGCACACGCCACAACGCACACACACAAACAACACACATATATACTTGCATGTGTGTGTGTATACATATACATACTATATAAAAGAGAAAGAAAGACAAAAGCAAGAGAGAGAGAGAGAGAGAGAGAGAGAGAGAGAAGAGAGAGAGAGAGAGAGAAGAGAGAGAGAGAGAGAGAGAGAGAGAGAGAGAGAGAGAGAGAGAGAGAGAGAGAGAGAGAGA